GTTGAACATCCCTCACTCACGATACGATTATGAGGGAGGCCGTTGTGGAGGGCTTTGGAAATCTCGACCATCTCGTGTTCCTTTAACGTGCGCCGAAATCTCACAGCACACGGGCTGATAGCGTTTTGTCTCCACTGAAGTGAGAGTGGCGTGGCCGAGAATCAACTCGCGACCTCCGAATTGGCAGCTAAGAGTCATAACCACTACAGAGCAAACAATTCTCTGTAGGGGTTATGACAGTTATAGCGGTAACAAAGCAAACAATTCCTGTTTCCCTTCAATGCCTTTCATCATTTTTCATTCACTTCTTGTTGCAATTTGCAAGTAATAAATTGTAGACTTCAACAAGCAGCTCAGGCTTTCTAGGTTGTTTTTCTCTCTACCGAGAAGAATCGAAAACAAATAAAAAAATATATTAGAAGCGGTGTTTACGGTGCAAGTAAGCAGAATGAAACAATGTAAATCTAAAATAGAACAGATTATGTCACATGCGTACCCGTACAGCCACTTGCTTTCGTGATGAATAAGCCGATACAAAATGACGTTAGGCGAATTAAGTGTTTTGAAACAGTGAGTTATCACCTGCCTGTTGCTTGCCTTACCAGACAATCTCACTTAGTCAATGATAGGAAGAACAAAAATAGTAAATATCAGCCACGGTGCCGGATTTAAAAGGCGCAACAGTACCACCTGCGCACCTTAGAAACTTGAAAAAATAAAATAATAAGGCAGCAACACTAATCCTAAAATTTCGCATATGACATGACAATAGTGTAAAAAAAAATTTAGGGACCCCTAAGCTTCATCTTTAAGTAGCGATATCCTGTCCCGAGTGCTTCAAACACTTAGTGTATGAAATCTTTTCGAACTTGCTACGCACCCACTATGTGGCCTTAAAGGGACACTAAAGTCAAAGAACAATTATGTCAGAGTAAAATCTAAATGTATGACAACGTCTAAAACGACAATATTATCAACAGCAGTGCCCTACTGACCAATAAATTAAGTTAAATGCACAAGAACCCATGCGCTACGATAGCATAGAGGTACCGCCTACAATTAATCGCTAGTAATCGAACTAGCTGCACTAAAGGGCCTTCTGTGCATGAAGAGATGTAATAAAATGCTGCTTGTTCGTTTGTGTTTGACTTATGGAAAAAAGAACCGCCAGACGTTACCATGGGGCATGGCGCGAGTGGTTCAAAAGTTCATTTTTCGCCTGATTAAACTGAACAAGTCGTGCCATCTAGCCGGGCCCGGTTGAACCAAGCAGGTCTGCCATCTCGCAAGCCATAGCAGGAAAATTTTTCAATGGCCATTGTTGCTGCGGTGGCTCCCGCTACTTATGTTCTGCTGCTACTAGTACCGGCGGCCGCGCAGCAAGGCCGGGCAACGTTACTCACGGCAGCAGTGGCGTGACACGTTCCGCTTGAGGCAGGTAATTTGAATTGCGTTAGCCCAATGCAAACCACTAATATCTGACTTTATTTCAAAATGAGCACTTCCTTGGCATAAGGGTACAATAACGTGTGTGCCTTTTGTAGCGGGCAACAGCCTTTAAACTGTGAGGCTATTGTGATGACGCCCAACGGCAATGTACACTTGTACCACGCATCATTACTGCAGTATTCCATGTTGTAGTGTGAAGCATGTATACAGGACGTGTATGTTTGTAAAGCATGAAAGTTACTTTCACTGAATTCCAAGCGGAGGAAGTTATTTTCGATGTATTCACAGGCAGAGGTGTGGCTGTGCCGTAAGACAACCGCTTGCCATGCAACCAACGCGGGTTCGATCACGCAAAGATGATTTTTCGCTCCCAACTAACGACGTCGACACCAACATTTCTGCGAAACGAGCTCCTTAATGCTATTGAATTAAAATACGCATATTTGCATGCTTATCCCTTAGCTACAGTTTCGGCAAACACGTGGCTTTTAAATGCGAAGCATTTCTTAGCGAACTTCGGCGACTTTGAGCGTATCTATCTATCTAGCCGCTTACGTTTAGATGCTCTCGTGGTCACCCTATTTACTTGGCGTGAACCAAAATTAGCATGAGAGGGTAATATGGCTTGACAAATACGACGCCCTTGTCAAGACACGAATAATGTCCTTGTCAAGACACGAATAATACCCACGGGCGGGCATGTGCCACTGGTATGCTGGTATGTGCCACAGGTGATTAACACTTGGTATCTACCCAGAAACGACGAGAACACACATGGGCAATTTTAACGCGCGAGTGTTAAGAAAACCCAACGTCAGTAGCGTCGACCCGACGAGTCCCAGCTGGAATTGAACCCAAGAATTCTGGGTGCCAATGAAGCATTTTACCAAAGAGCTACGCCAGGTCTCAGAACTACTTTTCAAATAGACCCTAATCTTCGTGAAACGTCAATAGTGGTTGCAGTGCTGCCTATCCAATTTCATAAACATTACATATGTACTCCTTTGATACAACCGTCAGGTCCGGTTAACATCAGATGTGGTTAGTTGCCATGCGCTGAAGTTGATTTATGTAGCAGTGTCTGGGGCCAGCGTCCTCGCGAGCATCAGCGCTTCGTATCAGCCTCTGGTGTTGCTAATGTGCATGCAAGTTCCAGTTGACATCGTTGTGCTAGTGCAAACAATTGGTTATAAAACATCTGCAACTCTTCAACATACGTCTGTGCGTGCAACATTTGTAAAAATATTTAGCGTCGATTCACGACATGTCGCTCAATAAAAAAAAAATGCAACATGGTCACCTTTCCTCCGCATGCTTCGCATAACGTGGATTCCCAGGTACGTGGGATCTGCCAACTTTTTTTTTATTTTAATTTTGTACTTTTTTAAAGCTAGTGAATGAATTATAACGCAGTTGGCTCTAAATTGACAACCAAAAGCGAAAGCGGCAAATGGCGTTGTTCTCACGTAAACTACGAGAAAAGAATTGTTGAACGGAAGAAATAAAAAAAAATAAGGGTGGTGAAACCGCAAGCTGGCTTCGGTGCTTAGTACGCGCGCACCGCGACGGAGCTATCTTTACAGGAGAATACTAGCTAGCGTGTCGGAAAGGTGAGGCGTGAGGACAAAAACGACGAAAGCCGCGTTCACGAACAGTGCCGAATTAAATCGACGAGGCAGGTACCTGTCTTGAGAACGCTGCGGGATTTCAAACATTCATATAGCGAACAAATCAATGTTTTCGCAAACAAAACTGATGCGCTGCACTACAAAAGCGCTTTCCGGGACGCGTATATAATCGCTAATAAAACTCGTTATTTCCGTCACTAAATGATAATTCTAACCTTTCACGGTAGTCCGGAACGATCTTCTTGTAACAAAATGCCCCAAGAACCTAAAAGGTTATATATAAAAAAAATATTGCGCGATTATCAAGTCTGCAGTAAAGTCTACGAATTCACCGATAAGCCATTTAGTGAAGCCCTTAAACGGTAAGCTCTTATCTCACTCTAAGCCTGAAACGCTCACTCGAAATGCAACGTCACGACGCCCAACGAAACACAGTTCAACAAGTTATACCGGTACTACAACCCCCGCGGGAGTATCGGCACTTCTCTTATCAAAGCGACGTTATCGGCTATCAAGTGCTTATAATCGACGAGTCGATAGCGACCCAGATTCATGACTCTCATGCTCCTTCTTTCTAGACTGGTTATTGAATCGGAGAGCTGTGCAAGTTTCCAACGCCGCGTCAAAACAGAGAGAAGTACACGAAAAATAAAACCAAATTAACCCGCAGAACAAAAAATAACGCCCCGGGTCAGCCGCTCCTAAATTTAAACTGCAGACCTTCGCAACAACCTCCTCTAACCACTTCAAACAGTAAAGGACGAATTGGAGAACGGAGAATCAAGCACGGTCCCAGCACGTACTTTGAAACTTCGACCCAACAGAGCCCAAAGCATAATTAACCGAACCGATTCGATCATTGTTTGTTTCTTTCATCTATCGTCGCGCAGCGGTAAGCAACAACGATAACTATTTCCCCGCACCACTTTCCGTTTGTCAACAGCGACGAAAGGTGCAAGTAGATAGAAAGAAAAAAAAAATCGGGTCGAAATTATCGTTCCCCAGAACGAATCGACAAACCACCTAGGCCTAAAAGAATGTAGCCACCTCGGCTTCCCGTTACAACGCACCTTGGTAACACCTGTACCGATTAAATATCAAGCAAAAAAAAAAAGGAACAGAGGACTGCCAAATCGAAGGCGTGAAGAGCTTAGCTCGATGTGTGTTTCGTGCAGTCGTCGGTTGTTTTTCCTTTCCTTTGGGCCGATTATGAGGATTTCGGTACCACAGAAAAACACTCCGCGCGCAGCACATACCGAAATCCTTTTCCGCAACCGAAAATGCATCGTTTTCGGGTTTGGATAGATCACGAAATAACGATAAGTTTCCAAGAGGCGATCGGCGAAACGTTATGGGGCAAGCATTCCGTCAACGACTTGGCGAAAACGCAAACACGAGTCAGCAAAAAAAAAAAAAAGATAACAAACCACCCGTCGTTTGGAGCAGCGTCAGGTGTTTTTTTCCTGCATTGCTGACCGAAATGTGTAACGCAAAAACGTAGCATTTCTCGGAATAACGCGGACCACGCATAGCTTTTCTATGCGTTAGGGCGAAGGAAGTAAAAAAAAAAAGCTGTGATAAGAAAAAAGAAATCAGGGCAATCTAAACGTCGCCTCGAGAGAAATAACCGTACAAAACTGCGGGACGGCGGAATACATAATCAACACGGTTGACCCTACGGGGCTGGCTTCGCCCGCAAACAGCTCAGCAAAGCCACGCCTCTTCGACGAAAAGAAACACTGTAGTTGCGTTTCACCGCAAGCCTAGCATCGACGGTTCCTTTCCTAAACCATCGACAATTATTAGCTCAGTCAAAAGGGCACGGACGGGGAGGGGGGGGGGGGCGGTGAAACGACACGCGAATTTCACGGATCTACAAAACAGGAAGTAAAAAAATAAGGAGGAAGAGGGGTTGCTACTTACCACGTTATGCTTACGGTCCACGGGTCAGCTTTGGCGCGCTGCATTACTCGTTCGCGAAGCCTCCCAGCTCCGACGTTTTTCGAGTATCTCCTCTCGGCATTCAGGGCGCCAGTGTTTTCCAAAATGTCACCGATTCCACATCCACACACACACACGCACATACACACGGCACAGGAAACCGCGGTCGACGGGCTATTTGCGCCCTTATCCGTACCACCGTCCGTGCATCACCATGGCCACTTTTTTTTTAGAGGCAACGCAGCGGTGAGTTCTTCGTCTTCAACGACGATTCGGGGTGGCCTAGCATCCCGCTACGTCGTCCTTCGCTCGACGATACTCGGTGCATCCGAAAATCGTCCCTAGGCCGCACGGCAGCCATGATATTCCTGACGTTTTCGGATTGAAAAGGGAAACGTCGCGCCCTCTAAACGGATACCGCTGACACTACGCGGAAACCGGAAAATTGGCGTATCCAAGTAGAGCAGCTAGAACCCCGAGCGAGCATACGTTTTCTCGGATTTTGTGAACTGCCGGAAGCCTGCTGTCATAATTTCATACATTAATAATATGAAACTTCATGCCTCCTGCCTCTTTAAGCTTTCCCTACACCCGCTAAGGTACTCGGCTGCTGACCCGCAGGTCGCGGGATCAAATCCCAGCCACCGCGGTTGCATCTTCGATGGAGGAGAAAATGCTGTATTCCCGTGTGCTCTTATTTGGGTGCACGTTAAAGAACCCCAGATAATCGACATTACCGGAGCCCTGCACTACGGCGTCTGCCATAATCATACGGTGCTTTTGGGACGTTAAACTGATTAAACCCCACATATCATCGTCATTTCCCTACACCCGTAAAATGAGGAGACAAAATAGTTTTCGTGGAAACCCATATGTGCGTGATTTAATTCGCTGCACCACAGGTTGATTTTTTCTTCGCTATTTTGCCATAAGGACATGATCAATCACCGAGGAAATCGTTATTTATTTCATCACGTTTGGAGCTGTCTGACAGTTCCTTTTCTGGTGGAATAGAGCTACAGGTCGTTTCTTTCACTTATGCCAATCTCGCGTTATCTTAGCTGGAACAATCGGCCTGATCGAAACAACGGGTTCAAGAACAAGCAAGCTGACGCACCTTTCTTTCTTTCTTTCTGTACCAGTACAGAAAATGGAGCGAAATTAGAGCTCTGGCCTGCTTTTTTTGCTTTTGTGATAGGTGGAGAATAAAATGGCGTGTCGAGGTAGCAATTATCGAGAGCGAAAATTCCAAAATAAGGGTGGTCGCGACGCCAAATAAATTCAGAGGTTTTATTAACACAAGTGTGAACACACCTAAGTTTTTATAGTTTCCCATAGTATGAAACTCTACAGTAAAAAGTTTCAACTGATAAACAACGAAACTAAAACCGAAACTAATGTTGTTTATACCAAATAACGTTGATTTATACAGCGTTAACAAAAAATAACAAATCTCACGTCTTAAACAAAAGCAATAGTATAAAATAGTTATGCTATTGAAGAACATTTAAGTTATTGAAGTGATATTCTTGTCCGTTATTACTGAACATCACACAAACAGCCAAGCGCAAGGGGCGTTAAACCCTTAAAACTTACGAAACCGCATCGTCGTCGACATCAGCGTGAATCGCGAAAAAATTCTGTTTGTTATTTTGCGGCGAGTGTGAGAGACAAAATGGCTGCCCCACCGTCGCTGGAAGACAAGTCCCTGTGGCAGGACGAAAATGACACCCTTGGCGAAGAAGTTCTCCGCATGTCCGCGGACGAAATCATCAGTCGCACGCGACTTCTCGACAACGAGATCAAAATCATGCGGAGCGAGGTGATGCGCATCTCCCACGAACTCCAGGCCCAGAAAGAGAAGATCAAGGAGAACAACGAGAAGATCAAAGTGAACAAGACGCTGCCGTACCTGGTGTCGAACGTCATCGAGCTCCTTGACGTCGACCCTCAGGAGTTGGGTGAAGAGGACGGCGCCAACGTGGACCTCGACTCCCTCCGCAAGGGCAAGTGCGCCGTCATCAAGACCTCGACGCGACAGACCTACTTTCTGCCAGTCATCGGCCTCGTGGACGCCGAGAAACTCCGCCCGGGAGACCTGGTCGGAGTCAACAAGGACTCCTACCTCATCCTGGAGACGTTGCCCCAGGAGTACGACTCCCGCGTCAAGGCGATGGAAGTCGACGAGCGTCCTACCGAGCAGTACAGCGACATCGGAGGCCTCGACAAACAGATTCAAGAGTTGGTAGAGGCGGTGGTGCTGCCAATGACCCACAAGGAGAAGTTCATCAACCTGGGTATAAGTCCTCCCAAGGGAGTCCTCCTCTACGGTCCTCCTGGGACGGGAAAAACCTTAATGGCCAGGGCTTGTGCCGCCCAGACCAAGTCCACCTTCCTGAAGCTGGCGGGCCCTCAACTTGTCCAGATGTTCATCGGAGACGGAGCCAAGCTCGTTCGGGACGCCTTCGCACTGGCCAAGGAGAAAGCGCCCGCCATTATTTTCATCGACGAGTTAGACGCCATTGGTACCAAGCGTTTCGACTCCGAAAAAGCTGGAGACAGGGAAGTCCAGCGTACCATGCTGGAACTCCTAAACCAGCTGGACGGCTTCAGTTCCAGCGCCGACATCAAAGTCATTGCTGCCACCAATCGGGTCGACATCTTGGACCCTGCGTTGCTCAGGTCCGGACGGCTGGACAGGAAGATCGAGTTCCCACATCCCAACGAAGAAGCGCGCGCTCGCATCATGCAGATCCACTCTCGGAAGATGAACTTCCACAAGGACGTCAACTTTGAGGAGCTTGCCAGGTGCACGGACGACTTCAACGGGGCACAGTGCAAGGCCGTGTGCGTCGAAGCTGGCATGATAGCCCTGAGACGTGCTGGCGAAAAAGTCACGCACGAAGACTACATGGACGCCATCATGGAAGTGCAGGCCAAGAAGAAGGCAAACCTCAACTACTATGCATAGACTGGGGAGGGGGCTCAGAGATGATGGTTGCCGTTTTGTTTTTCTGGGCTTCATTAAAGCCACTTCTTTCATCCTACGTTCTGCTTCTGCTCCTTGTAATTGGGTGTTTTTGTGGATTCGTACACAAGTTCTGCAGGCTTGCATTGCTGTTGCGTTGCTGCGTGCATCTCGATTCAGGGCGTTTGCGGTTTTGGTGCATTTCTTGGAAACATTGCAAGGCCATACTTGTTTTTATGCCACTGCCTTATGAAGTCAAAATTTTGCTTTCTACGTTCATGAAACAGAGCCCCATCAACCTTACGCAAGTTCTTGAGTGCCATTAGCATCATGCTTGGCATTTATTTTGCAGCTCTACACAAATAGCCGTGATGCGTTTACAGAAATTCACGTTTCATGAATGAATTTATGTTTTATTTTGTTTATGAATGGAACATGCGGTTTCATCTACCTCGAGTGGGGTTCGATACACACGTAAGTATTAACGATACTGGAACTTACAGTAAATCATTGGACACTGGAGTGTTGCTGGAGCAAACACATTAAAAAGTCGGCTTGTCTTCACTGGTTGCAGACCTAACAAAGACAAGTCCGCTCCCTGTTCATTTTCAATCTTTTCGAGCCTCCATGTTCCCCTGAACTTTTGCCTTGTTCAGGTCAACACATGAACAGCAATGCATGTATTTCATATATCTGAATGAGTTACGGACACATCTTCATTTCATGCAGGTGTTCCGTGTTCGATAGTAAAACTTGCCATCAAATCAACCTTTGGAACCTTATTTTTATTGCACACCGAGTAATTGGTAACGTCTGTTCTGCAAAACTGCGATGTGTGCATCATTGATACTGAACTTCAGTATGTCTCTTTATAACATCCCTCACAGTTAAAGTATAACAAAGTGTTCTATGTGGGGGTAATTCTTGGCCTTGACGCAAATGGTATTGCGCACATTTCAGTGCTGTTTATATCCTCGACACATCAGAGTTGATTGACAAACATGCCCACAAGGAAGCGTAGTTCATAGCTTAATCAGCTTTACTTTAGTCATACGGTCAGATGTCTAAGGTTAATTTTATTTATATTCCGACAGGCAGTGATCATCCTTAAACAAAAAAGTAAGTGGTTAATGCAGTGCTAATGTAGTTATTTTGTAGGTCGTGCTGTAGTTTAAACCCTGCTTTTAATGCAGCTCCAATACCACGAAACCTGTGGACGAGCGCAGCATGGGCAAACCAGCGATTTCCTTGTCAATAGCGCACTTGCCGAGGTGGTGGCGCCCTCTATTGGCCGGCGCGAGAACAATTACTTACTTACTCGAAGGCGCATGTTTATTATGCAGAGGTTCTCGGCATTGTTAGCCTTGTTTGCGTGAACAAGGGACAAGAGGCGACGAATGGACGAAAATCCGGGTCCCTAAAGTGCTTCGCGCTTAGAACAATTCATTTTAATATGGTCCATGGTAAGATTTATGCGTCTAAGTCACACGACCATTCCGTGCACGACCATGGAGGAAGGAAACAAACGACGCCCTGCGAAGCTAGCTACACCGCAGAGCTCCAGAGCGGACGTCGATATATTTTTTTCCCCAATTCTGACGTCACTCATTAGCGCGATTTTGGTTGCCGCGGTTTCCGAAGGCTTGTTGCAGCATGAAATGGCGTGGCTGTAAGTGACCCACGACTTGTAGATGTTCTCCCGCGCCCCGAGTCTTCAGCGATTCCTGTGAATGCTCGCCGGACACGATCCGAGATGAGCTCCTCGGACGCCTTCAAAATCCTCGTCGCCACCGATCTGCATCTCGGCTTCGAAGCGAAGGACGCCGAGAGAAGTAAGCGCGCGAAAGCCTGTGTCATCTTCGGCAACTCGTCGTGAACAAGCGAGCGGCAGCTTTTCGACGCGCGTCTGATTGCTTCGAAAGGCTGCGATCTTTTAGTAAAGAGTGTTAACATCAAGTGACGATGTCTCATCTCTGTGTGCTCGATTACCACGGACGGTGTTTTCGCGTCAGGCTTTTCAATGTCCTTGTCGTTATGTTTGAATTATTACGGAGTTATAACTTGAACGCACTTAAGTCATCACGCTTATAGTTTGTCTTCGTGTTCTGCGTGGCAAAAAAAAAAAGGGGGGGGGGGGGGGTAAGCTATAACATGTGCTCTTCAACTGGAATGCGATCGTACTGGCGTTGTTGCGTGTTGATGAATGCATGACGTCCACTCAACCTGGTTGGGACTGTCAAGGTGACTGCTCTGGGCATTGTGAAACCGAAAACGTGCAATCTTTACTCAAATTGCGCCTCACTGTACATTATGCGTGAGGGCAGTGATGCTCAGTGAGTAGCGGTGAGCGATTCTGAACCATCGCGCTGCCACCGCGTATTCTCACTCTCTTCTACTATTATTATTTTTATTATCACTTATTGCAGAACAAGACTCGATCAGGACGTTCGAGGAGATACTGCAGATCGCGACGCAGCAGAACGTCGACTTCATACTCCTCGGCGGTGACATGTTCCACGAGAACAGGCCGCCGCGTTGGGTCGAGCACGAGACCTTACGGTAGGTTCACTTGTAGCCGGACTCGCAAAGCTTGAGTAAAGGTTTTAGAATCGCGCGTGTAATCAGCTCGAGTTTTGCACTAGCCGTGGCAGTAGTTTTGCCTTTACAAAGGGACTTCTTTTTCGGGTCAATCCTCTCCTCTTTGGGACCTCCCCTTTTTTACGAAATGTATTTTGCACCGCAGCCAAGCGTTGCTAAGCAAAGTTCTGCCTTTGACTACCTGAAAAGTAGCCTTCAAAAGATTGCTTCAGGACATCGGGCCAAACGATCGGGTGTCCCGTGTGTATCATACCATGTCGAATGGACACGTATTAGCGTAGACTAGGAAACGAAGACTTTGAAGGCTCGAAAACCTAGAAAATGTACCACTAACCGTGAAGGCAGCCTTAAACAAAATTACAACTTGTTTTTTGAAAGCTAGTTTAAGTTACTACTGTATCGAGATGCACAACAGAGAACGGTCAGGTCCCTACCGTATTGTAACGTCACAACAGAGCCTCTTGTCATGGCCACTCCACGGCTCGGGCAGCGACGTGCAAGCAGCCAACTTGAGTGTTTTTGTACCTGATATCATCACAACCAGCCGTGCTGATGCTCGAGGATTCCAGAATTTACACCGTAGCCTGACTTCACGCTTTTGTAGATGTTAGTAGGTTTCCCAACTGAAAATTGATTTTAATGTTAACAGTAAAATATACATCTGCCTTGGTGGATTAGTAGCTAGGGTGCTTGGCTGCTGACCTGCAGGTTGCAGTATCGATCCCTGCCCCGGCTGTCGCATTTCGATGGAGGTGAAGTAGAGGGCCCACGTACTGTGCGATGGCAGTGCACGTTGAATAACACCAGATGGTGAAAATTTCTAGAGCCCTCCCCTACAGCGTCCGTCAAGATAATATTGTGGTTTTGGGACGGGAAAGCCCACATATTATATGTTAAAGTGCAGTACATTTCAAGTTTCAAGTGTATCTCAAATATTAGCACAAAAGTAGAACATCGTACAGTATGAATATTCAGAAGGAGGTTTCCCCAAGCTCTATTTGGTTTCCCCAAGCTCTATTTACGCTTCAGGGCCACCTCCTGTCAGAGCTTGCAAAATAAAAATACCTAATTAGCAAAAACAGCAATATTACAAGAAAACGTGTGATTAGATAGAACAACAGAGAGAGATAGAGCAACAAAAAAAGCTATGACAAACAATATATTGAAGCAAAAAAATATACATCTACTAGTTAAATAAATACGAGTATAATTGTTTTTAATATTAAACTGATTGTGAAGGACTGTTTGATGTGACATGGTAATGAATTCCATATACATAAAGCAAAAAAAAAAAGCAGTGTGATGACCTTAAGTGGTAGACAATTTCCATTTGAAGCAAATCTAGTGGGGTTATGATTACTTATCAGCATTACCTGAACCTCGAACTTGCTCTGGGCTGTCCTGTGTTCAGGAGCCTTGTACGGCAGTGCGAACTCGACTTCAAAAGTTAGCCTAAGCACGCCCTTAGGGACGCTTTCGTTTGCTCGCCTCAGGTTGCTGCGTCAGTACTGTCTGGGCGACAAGCCAGTGCAGTTTGAGATCCTGAGTGACCAGGCAGAGAACTTTGGCTTCTGCGCTTTCCCCAACGTCAACTACGAGGACGCCAACCTCAACGTCTCGCTGCCTGTGTTCACCATTCACGGGAATCATGACGACCCGACTGGAAGCGAAAACCTCAGCATCATCGACGTCCTCGCAACGTCGGGGCTCGTGAACTACTTTGGAAAGGTGGTCGCTCCTGTTTTTATTTATTTATTCTTGTCACAGTTTCGTGTTCTTTAAAGGAAATGCCAACCGTCGACTGCCCGTTTGTCTGACATCACTGCTTGGAATTCCGCACTTATTTCTTGAAAGAGAGCCATCCTGCCTGCCGAAAAATTCATCTTTGTCGTAGATGCGAATTGTGCTACATGAATAGATACAGTGATATGAATAACCTTTATAAGAAATTTTCGAATATAACGAACTTATTTTCTTCTAAGATGCAACTTTGTTATGATGAGGTTTGAGTGCACAACTGCTCGTCGAGAATTTCTTTTTTTGGTGACCGTCATCGAGATTAAAAAGGGGAGGTGCGCTTGTCTGTTTATTTCTATGCGTCCTCTAACTTCTTCCATTTTCTTACAACTGACAAGTGTTTTCTGCTAACTTGTCTTCCATTTAGAAGCATTATGCCAACTTTATGTTTGCCACATGGCAGGTGACAGACTTGACAAATGTGCGGCTGTCACCCGTGCTCCTCCGCAAGGGACGGCTGCTCCTGGCGCTCTATGGCTTGGGATGGATCCGAGATGAGCGACTGCACCGGCTGTTTCGCGAAAGCAAGGTCAGCATATGGACTCGTGACAGCGTGGAGCATGATTGACCACGTAGAACAGTCAGAGATTCAATAGTTTCATATTGTTTGGTCAAATTCGCAGTGAGGGTGTTCATCCTGGCAGGTTTAACGCCTGTAGGTAGCTTGTGAAGGATTATTGTTTGGCTGCCAGTTCGTCAAAGGTCATGTGCTGTAGGATGTCATCTGGCCGAAACAAATGTTTCATGTCACCGCGGCATGCCTGCCAACTATCCCGAATTGTCCGGGAGACTCCCGAATTTCGACCTTATCTCCCGATTGTATGAGTGCTATTTCGAATCTGCCAAGAAGTCAACGTCATTGCAGAGCCGTTTAATTTTTATTCACGCGAGTAAGTCAGCCTTTACTGCTACGATAGTTGCGCTGCTGCTGAAGAGTACTCGCCTCTAAACTTATACTTCATTGTAATCATACCGTAGAGCACCGCTAAGTATATTTAAGCACTGTAGTACTGCACATCTGGGCGAAGGCCGGCGGCCGTGAGACCCTCTCACCAACCTACCGAAAGAAGGCGATCACAACTTTTGCATCTGTCTGCCTTGCCGGGTACGCTAGGCCTATGCCGCTTCTCTAGGTGTCAGTTCTGTTTGTTACGTGTTTTCAGGAGTTGCGTGTTTCCCCAAGTTCTGTTAGAAGGTCGATGGTGGTTTAAAAAGTAAAGAGGTACTTGCAAGTCTATCTGGACTCTCACACAGCTGAGTTTCAGCGCTTTGTGACTTGACGGAAAGGCGGCAAGTTGGGATTCTGTATACCACGAGCGCGTGTGATGTAAGCGTTTGGTACAGTGGCAAGGTTGACAGATCGCTTCACAGAAGCATCAGAAGTATGTTGGTGGTACGGAAGGCCAGGCCACCATCATAAGTTTCTTCCAAAAGAGCTGCAAAAACAGTGCGATCAGCATAGAATGCCTATTCACAGGATTTCTTGTGGAACACAACTTTCCGCTGAGTGTGAGCAATCATGCAAGACCATTGTTTCGAAAAATTTTCCCGAAGTGCGAGGGTGTGGACGCACGAGAACAACTACCGTCGCCGGGGAAATGGCTGCAGGTGCCGAAAACACACTGCGTGAAGGTCCAGGCTCAACCATTGCGCTTCCGTAGTCGCAGCAGCGACAGCGCGTCGCAAATGTCTCAGTCTCAATAATGTCAGACATGCAAAAAAAATATCACTCTTCCCTCACTGCGGTGTCCCAAATTTTCATTCTGGTAGGTTGGCAGGTATGCCATGGCAGTGTGTTATACTGGTGTCACACAGTCACTGTTGATCACCGTGGCAAACGCTTGTTTGAATACTTCATTGTAACTGGATTCTTCAAGCCAAGCCGCAGATGGTCATCAATCACTGCTAAGATATTTGAACTCTGTTGAGGTGTATCGTGACCTTATTCATGAAAAATATGAATGGGAGAAACGTTTAGATTGTTTAGTGGGCATTTTAGTGTCATATTACGAGTATATTTTCTTGCAGAACCACACGGCATGTTTGCTGCGACATGCTCACCCACTATGTCATGGACGCTGTGTTTACTTTAAAAAACAGGTGTGTTGAAATGGCTGTGTCGTCTAAGAAATGAAAAGAAAAGGAAGGCGTTCTTGCAGAGTGAACGAGGACTGTATTGTACCTACGAATTCCTGCAAATTTTTTAAGTCTTATAATGAATGAAGCGAGATTTATTTCAGCAAGGCAATAGGGGAAAAAAACTTATGTCCACAGTCTTGTTAATTTCGACGTGGGGCTGCGTCATTGCACTGCGTGCGACGCAGGTGAAGATGCTGCGCCCCCGCGAGTGGACCGAGAAGTGGTTCAACCTGCTGGTGCTCCACCAGAACCGGGCCAAGCACGGCCTGACCGACTACATCCCCGAGGACTTCCTGGACGAGTTCCTCGACCTCGTCGTGTGGGGTCACGAGCACGAGTGCCTTATCGACCCAGAGTTCAATGGCAGGTGCGTGAAGTGTCTGTACTTTGTTTAAACAATTGTAAGTAGACTCAAAGTGTGTCAACCTTTATAAAATATCTTGGGGAAAAAGAAAAAGATAGGAACCGTGAGTGCCTTTGATAAACAAAACTGATTAACGCCTCAAAACTCAAAAAAAGAAAAAGGTACAGGGGTACTGGCTACAGGCCTTGTACATACCACAGTGTGAAGTTTGTGTATGCTTACCCATGCGGCTCTCCCTCATCTGGTTTGGCACAAAAAACTGCATCCCAGGGACTTACTGCCGAAAATTGTTAACTACTTTGTAATAATAGTAATAGTGTAGCGCCTTCATTTTCATCAACAATGGAGGATTCTGTGGGTAAAGGTCGCGTGAGGCACAAGCAACTTGATAGTTGCTCACAGCCATCTGTACAATGCAGCAGGCGACAGCCCACATATTCGGAGTATAAAATATCTAAAAGATTTAATGCATTTTCATTAAAAAACAATCCCTCAAAAAAGGCGCGACTGTCTTGCTAGCCGGGAGATTGTAGAAAGCTGCTTGAGGGTGCATTCCTCAGCAGAAGACGCAGACAAGTCTCCATTCGTGCAGCGCCTTATTTCCATATATGTTATCAGTGAATGCCCACGCTGCATACTTTATGTTGAATTCCAATGGCGGATTCAAAGCAGCCGGCTGACTCTGCGAGCGAGCACTCGACTATGGCGTAGAGCAACGCCTCCAAATCCACGATTGAAACACAATTTGCGCTATTCGAGCAAGTATGGGGAGCAAGGTAGAAGCGGAAGGCCTTGAGTTACCCGAGTACCTTGCGTGTAGTATTTCATTCCGCAAATTCCACTGTCAAATTCTATTGAATTACTGCTCGTACGTAGTTGTTTCAGTGTGGCTGTCGCTCTGCGACGAACTGGTTTGCCCAGTGGGCCATGTCGTCCGTCCACCATTACTGCCAAAACACGCGACAGCGGCGTCACCCTCAAGCGGGCAAACGTATTAGGGGTCATTCGCAGAGCGGTCAAACAACCTGTCCCATCACCGTCCCGGGAGTACGGCGCGCCGAGTTCCGGTCCACTAAGCCGATTTCAAAGGAGCAACTTTTCATGCTCCTCGGAGTAACTACCACTCCGAATTTACTCCAATTCTCTCATTGGAACACTTGACTCCCGTCCCAACTCTGCCATTGGAACACATTTGCTCCAAAAGGAGCAGGAAAACTTGCTCAGACTCCACCATAGGAATTCAACATTATTAATGACGTCATTGGCGACCTCACTACTGGGGCACCGCAGAATCTGTAATCTCGTCACTGCCGTTCACTCCTTTTTGTGCTTTGTTTGCTGTGTGTCTGTTTTGCATCCTTTGCTGTGTTCTGTTTTGCATCCTTTGCTGTGCACCCTCTTTCGTCCTCATTCGCTCTGCTGGTTATGCCGATGTCGTTGAACGCAGGAACGGCCTTCTAAGAGCTGTGCTCTAAAGAGTCTACACTTGTACCTCTGTATATCGAAGTTGCACCTTATGCCAAAATAAGATTTATATCCAAAAATTTGTTATAAAAGTATATTTCTAATGCTATATATTTCTATAGTATTCTTCATTTCTTTGTTTAACCCATATTTTTTTTTATATCGAGGTTTGAGTTATTGCATTTTCTCTCCTGTAGGTTCCATGTGACTCAGCCCGGCAGCCCCGTAGCCACATCGCTGTGCCCGGGTGAGGCGGCTCCCAAGCACGTCGGCATCCTGGAGATAACCATGGCTGACGGCAAGAAGTCTCACAAGCTCACCAAGGTACGACCCCGTCGCGGCACTGCCCGAATGCTCGTTAGCTGATGCACCACGCGTTGAGAAGAGTTGACTGTTGAGCGAGTTGATGCTCTGACATAGAAACCGTCGTGAGAGCGCAACAAAACATGACACACAGGAAGAGACAGACGTGGACAGGCGCAAACTACCAACCGCCAGTCCTCGTCTGTCTCTTGCTGTGTGTCGTGTTTTGTTGCGCTCTCGCGATGGTTTTTTTGACAACAGGCTATGATTGGTAGTTTCACAAGTCCTGGCTTGCGGCATGTCCTTATGGGAACGATGTTAGACATGTTGAAGGCAGGGTGAGTCGGCCTGGCATGCTTCATGTAACATACAGAAGGCCCGCACTAGTCACCTAAATGGGGGGGGGGGGGGCGTAAATTCAGCCCCACACATTGACATAATAGGGGGGGAGGGGCAAAGTTGCTCCATACATTGACATAATAGGAAGGGGGGCGCTGCAATGAACCTTCGTCCCCCTTGAAAAAGAAGTACGCTCACTACAGATCTGGTGTGATGTCATTACAACTTTCGCTGCCCTTCCTAGAGAGCTACGTCAGTGTTGGCTGTGCTAGCGATGGGCCTCGATCGTGAGGATGGGAATTCAGGCGCACTTTGGAAGGGAATCAAAGTAGGCCCTAAACGTTTGCTTTGTCCGACCGTTCGCGTGGAGTGTCCTTGCATACAGAGGAAACCAACAACAGGCTTGTTGTCGCCATGAAATTCAGTGGCACCACCCTAAATGGAACAACTGCCTCTGATATGACTGCTTTTGTACTTAAACTCTGCAACCCTGTTTGTCTCTCAGTAAACGAAACTCGTGTTAAATAAAACACATTTTTCTGGTCCTTTCATTTTTCGTTTAACAGGAGTCTACCTCCATCCGATTGGTTAGTTTGGCATACTTGAAGATCTATCTTGCTAAACTAAAGCGTCGTTGTCCAGAAACCACACACTTAATCCGGGATGACTGCCTGCATTTTTCAGATCCCCTTGAAGACTGTGCGGCCCTTTTACATCAAGACGGTGTCGTTGTTTGACCTCGAGGAGAAGATTGCAGCCATGGGAAAACGGGCCAACATCAAGACCTTTTCAGAGCACGCTCTCGACTTCTGCACACGGCACATTGAGGACATGATTGAGGAGAGCATTCGGGATCACCCCAGTGAGTGCAGTGCATAGCTTATGTGTGCAAATATGCCATGTTTAGTATGTTTACATATGTGTTTAGTATCTTTACTTGTGTGGTCATTATTGTTACATCATTTACATATGTGGTTACCGTGGTTACTATGTTTAGGTATGTGCCACCTGTGTAATAAATGTCACCTACCCTGTATTGGCCACTGAAAAGTGAAGTGTAACGGCCTTGTCCAATGCTACCAGATATGGTGAACAATGTCTGTATGCGGTGTTATTATTTTCGCAATCTTATAAGCTCATGGAAAGTCTTATAGAAGTTTACATCCTCATTGAACTGATAGACATAGAGGCTAGTAGCGTACTTACTTGCATAATTTGTGCACTTTCTTTTTCTCGGTTTCAAATCTTCGATAAGGGAGTGCACAAATTATGTGGAGATTTTGTGAATGCATACGGAATAGTGTGCAATAGTATATAGCCCTACCATGCGCAGTATATGCATTAAAAAGAAGAAAAAAAGCGAGTGTTTTAGAGCACAAGCAAAGTATACTTGATTTAATATTTAAGAGTATTAGTGCGTGCTTCCCTCAAACCTCATTATAACAAACTTGCATCTTACATGAAAATAAGTTCGTTTTATCTGAAAATTTGTTATAAAGGTTTATTTTTAACACTATATCCATTGCAACACTATTTTTCATTTATTTCATTATAACCGATATTTTGTTATACCCGGTTTTGTTATAACGAGGTTTGAGTGTATCACCAGCCAGATCCAATCGTGCACGGTCCAGTTGGAATCACTGGCCGAGAGGTTCGTTTGAGAATCATCATCGGGGCAGCTGTCGATGCCCTCTTAAAGGGTGTCATCCTCTGTGCCGCCGAGCGCATTCGAATGCCCCATTTGCTTGAAGCTCTTCTCGGCAGTGCTGGCAGAAACCAGGTTTCACGACATGATGATACCGGAGGACCTAAGCTTTTGCACAGACAGTCAAACTTCCTTATAAAAAACACTAGTTTAAGAAACAAACGGGTATAATAGACACAAGTGTGCCTACAGTAAATTCGGGTTGATAAGAAAATGCGTACAAGGTACCCTACTTACAAGAGACATCTAAGAGACAAGAATTGCTGCCCGGAGCATGCATTTCATAAAGGGGTCCAACTGTAATTGAAAGAGTCTTTATCAATGGCAGGAAACTTGTATTAACAAGGGTACACTCTTCTGCTTTCTTCCGTACCAAATGTTACGTGTTGAAGAACTTCACGTCGGAGTGCTTCGCAGGGGAATGGTTCCCGTTTTCGTCGGCAAACATTATAACAGAGAGCTTAAATTTCGCACTATGTGTAATCATCGTAGCCCATCAGAAGGGAACAGAGAAAAACACAATGGACAGCTGGGGAAACGGAAACTTTTGAAATCAACCAACGGTGCATTACAGCGCCAAGAGGGGGGGGGGGGGGGGTGCTTAGAGAATTTTCGTCGCAACTGGGCGTGTGACTTGCAGCGTTTGTTTTCCAACTCCTGTTTATCTTCGGAAAATATTGCTTTTGTACTGTTTGCCCGAGCCAAGAAGAGACGGGTCGTGTGACAAATGTGTCATATCTACGTATCCCTTGTCCTTCCAATAAAGAAATGAGGGGTAGTTTCGAGTGCTTCATGCCTTCAGCTTGTAGGCGAGGGATTATTGTTGGGCTGCCAGAAGAGTGGCTACGAGCGGCTACGAGCGGCCGAGTGGCTACGAGCGGGACTGACTAACACTCCAGCGTTCACATGCATATATGTATAGTGAGTACCCCATAAAGTGCATGGAGGGGGACAAGCGCCACCGTTCCTCAGTTGACGAAGCATCGGACGCGTCATTCAAAGGTCGGAGGCTCAGTGCCTGCCGGCGGCTAATGCTATTTTCGTCCACTTTCTTTTTCTCACATTTATACAATGATTACGACAAATAACAACCCCTTTCTTGTCTGTTGGTTCTCATTGAATTTTTTCGTTCCAATGAATCATAGTTGCGAGTTAGTGCCTGGGTTCTTCTTTCTTTTTCCAGTGTCTGCGTTTGGGTGCGTGCCGTATTCTGTCAAATATTAACAAGCACCGACTAGCCCAACTATCGACGCTTCGTCATCATATGCGCTTGCATTTTACAATTTCTCGCAGGCGATGGGCCGCAGCCCAAGCTGCCTCTCATCCGTCTCCGCGTTGAGCACGGTGCCGAGCACGAGACGTTCAGTTCGCACCTGGTGGCCCGCATGTTTCCCGAACGCGTGGCCAACCCGCGGGACATCGTGCTGTTCACCAAGCGGCGTGGCGTCACTAAGAAGAACGACGGCGCACTCGACATGAACTTCCTGCGCGAGATTGCCAGCGCCGAGGCGTTGGCCCGGTCGCGCGTCGAAGACCTGGTGCGCGAGTACTTTGAGAAGGTGGACGACTCGATGCACATGACCGTCCTCACTGACGAAGCGATGCAGCAGGCCATGAACCTCTTTGTGGACAAGGACTGCACCGACGCCATCATGGGGGCAGTCAGGATGCAGGAGGTGAGCAAGAGTGTCGCGATCGGTCGCTCGGCCTCGCGGCTAATCTCAAGACATGTTTCAGTTCTCGCTGTAGACGGGGTAACGGACGAGATAGGTAGACATTGCGACAAGATGTTTTAAAGGCGTCCGGCCCCATTTTCGGAAGGCGAGTTTACTATGCCATACAGATATCCTGTATACGAGACGACTCCGAGCAAGTGTGAAGCTGAGCAAATGCCGATAAGATATATTATTTTTATATTAAAATAATTTTTCCCGTGGCACATCTTCCGGAATTGAGACTAGCTCGATGTTGGACTACAGTACTGATTCTGGTGACTTCACGCAGCCATCTGGCTAGTTGCCATGACGTCAGGTACCGAAACTTCCAATGTGGCTGCTCGTCCGTCACCCACGGAGCCACCGTGCAGAGCAGCTGTGAAAATGTCATGATAACTTGTGCGTGCACGTGACTGGGAGCTCATATTATGTCGTTACGTCAGGATACAGTACGAACTGAAACTATCTTTTGGAGACACACCGTAATTGCGAATGAGTTCTGAGGAAACCCGCAAGGTGGTGCAAGGGTTAAAAAAATAAGAAAGAAGACAACCACCGTGTGGTTGTCTTCTTTTTCTTTCTTAACCCTTCTGCTACCCTGCGGGTTTGCACAAAACTCATTTGTAATACTTGTGTTCGTGTGCTTTGAGTTGTTGACGAATTCGCCCTCGCGCTGTCAATTTATAGCCTTCTGGTTAGGTCATTTGGTAGAGCAACTTCCCCAGAAAGGCATTGGTCCTGGGAGGATGAATTTTTTGGCTACTAAAAAGCTTTTATTTCTGAGAAATCCGTGCAGATTTTCTTGTGGCTTCGTGCTACATTCAGGTGGTTGTCTTTCTTAATTAACACACTGCAAATAGTAATTGCTTTTTCCAGGTACACTCATTCTTGGGGGTATCTTTTTAGGCTCTTAAGAACTGGCCTTTAATACGACGTAAAAAAAAACAAAAAAAACGACAACTGAATATTTTCGTGTCAATATTTAAACGCAGAGCCAATAGTAAGCGTGCTTCAATATCAGTAGATGATTGCATGCCGAATCTTACGATGGAACTGACTGAAAGAGACGGTCGATGTGATGAGTGTCTTTAGCTCACGGTAAACCTTGGGGTGTGTTTCAGTATCAATTTGATTTGCTTAATGGAGAGCTGGATGGGGAGGGAAATCAAAAGTCTCATTCTAGTTGTGACGAAGCATACAATGTTCCATAACAAGCGTATGACACCTTGAAACGATCTTAACTACCTTACTGTTCAAGCAACACGACTGCCTAAGGTACCTGCTTGTAAGCATGCTAGCGATTTCGACAGTGGACCAGAAAGTGTACTCAGTCTTTTTTTACTACATACAGTGTAGAACGCCTATTACGTACGTTGCCAGGGTCGTGAATGTCCTCACTATAACCAAAACGACCTTTTTCAAAGGCTGCGCTTGCGCAGTACGTGCTGAGCATGCAGCTGCTAATGTCCAAGAATAGAAGCATTAGGTGTGGGGTGCTTACAACCATTTACATTTTCGTTGTTAAAAAATTAACGCTCAAAAGACCTGTGTTGCCAATAAAATGGATGCTGGAAAAAAAAAAAGATTACAGAAGAAAGTGCCGTCGCTGAAATTCGCAGACTACGTCTCTGACCACCTTGTTTATGCCCATTACGCAGAAACTATCGTCGAATCAAGATCGCAATTCTGCACGCTGAACGGTATCGATTGATTTCATGTGTGTGCACCCGCTGTTCAATAAATTGAAATCTAATCGGAAGTCATCATACAAGTGTCAGGCGTGCCGCCCAAGCTCCCATTTTCAATAACAATGTGAGTCCTCTTCCCTTAACACTCAGTGCCAAGAGTTTCGTTGATTCCGCACTAAACAGCAACGTTGATCGCCCACTACCGCTACCAAAACTCTATCCAATGATGCTTAGGCCTAACCTGCAGGTTAGCGTGTTGCGGGAAGTTAGTCCAACACATCACGAAGATCGAGCGTCGAAAAGATCGCATTCGAGCACTGACCCGAACACAGCGCGTATGATGCAGAGTTTTGGTTTGTGGCCAGCAGATCAACTTTGACGAAAGCCCACCAAGCCCGTTTACTGGCAACAAAGGCAAAAGCGTGCATTATAAAGCCATAAGTGCTTTTGAATTTGCGGACGAGGTAACAAGCACGATATTTGTTGCACTCTACGACGACGCTTTTTGCGACAGGAAACGATCGCACGTTCCACGTGGAAAACATGCTGCTGCCAAGAAGCCGGCGCTGGTGCAAAGGCTTCTTCATTGGCCAGGCAACCGCTCTCCTTCCTCACTCGACGCACCCCCAGAACCGCGCAGTGCTGCTGCTGTGGTTTTCTTAGAGAGCAGCTCTAAGGCGTCGATTACTGCATTGAGCAGTGTCATTGCAGTGGCATGATCGATAGGCATGAAAAAGTAACTGACCGACTTGAAGAAATAAAATGAGAAAAAAAATCTCTAGGAGTGAATGAGCATTGAGCTTAGACTATTCGCCCATCTCTTATTGTTCCAGCCTAAAACTCTGTTAAAATAAATGCTAAATGAAGTTTAAGCACCTGAGTTCAATGCTTATACTTAGCTGTTTCGCACTGGCAGTGCTTAGAGCAAACTGCCTTGTAACTGCCATCTTTACTTGCTTGCTGATGCAGTAAATCTTACTATAATTAAATCGTTTCTAGCATGAAAATGACCTTTTGTATCCGAAAATTCATTATAAACGTTTGTTCTTAACATTGCATTGACGCATTCTCTGTCTACTTTTTTTAATAATTGGTAATTTCTTATTTGAGGTTGGAATGTAGACCATCGTCTCATTTTCGGTTTCACAGACTCGTGCAGTGGATGCTCTCAAAGAGGTTCCCGAGAGCAAACTGATCGAAGAGATATCCCAGCTCAAGACACGCTACGCCGACCAGCCGGACATAAGCGCCGAGGAGATCAAGCGGCGCGTGACACAGGTCTCAAACCGCACCGCGGAGCTCGGTGTTTCCGACGATGACGACAATGAAGAGGTCAGCCGGATTGAAGACGATGACGACGACGAAGACCTCAATGGAGCTTCAAGGTCGAAGCGCGGAAGGGGAAGAGGAGCACAGTCTACGAGAAGAGGCCGTGGCAGAGCCAGGGCTGCATCGTCTTCCGCAAACACGTCGAGAGGTCGAGGGAGGCAGAAGCGAGTCAACCTGTAGCTTTCACTGTGATAACTTCTTAAGTGCTAGACAACAAGGTGGCAGCGGTTTTGCCAAAAGTTTCCAGGAGCTGAAGCGAGATGACGGGTGCAGTGCATGGAATCTTTTGTTTCGTCCTGCTTTGAAGAAAGTGTGGTACAAATGGCAGAGGCTTGGATATGAGATGATGACGGCACCGCTCCCTTTTCACCCGCAGCTGTATCCTTTTTCTTTTTTTTTTTTTGAAGAAAAGGCTAGTCCATGTTAGCGTAGTGCTCATATGTGTCGGCCAGTGCTTAAATGCTAGTGCTTATGTAAGGAACACTTCTTTTGAAAAAAGTTCGTCAGATACCTGCACTGACCATGGCTGTACAAATCAGCTTGTTGAGTACAAAACAACTTGGCCGTTCAATGTATAGTCGTGACCTCTAACCAGCATTGCATCTCCTGAAACAGGCATTAAATGTTAGTGTAACGACACGCCAAGGTGCTCTGCTTGGCCGGTTCAGCATGCAATGCTGACTTAGGACGTTTCACCACGACGTCAAGATGGAGACGTACACGAGTGAACCAAACCTCTGATGTGTCACAGTAGAGATAGTTATTTTTTTACCAAATCCTTGTGTTTTACAAAGTCATTTTGCATTTGCAAGTTTTTGTTAAAGTGCTTACGTGTTAACGTTGCATTTGTGTGAACTGATGATGTGTCTGTCAATACATGATACAGCATCTTTATCTGTGTCTGCATTACAACCACACTTCATGCTTCTAGAGGCGGTTTTTTTTTTCTTTTTCCAGTTTACACGATACCATCACATCTCTCTCATACGCCTGACAGTTCAGCTTCTTTTGATTGCTTCTTGATGACACAGCATACCATGCCCTCTTCTCCATCAGGGAGTGCCAAAAAATGTGTACACGTACGATTCTTGGACGACACTTTCAGGGTTTTCACTGACTTTCAAGTGAAATTCCCTAAAATACGAGTAAAATGTCGCCAAAAGTCACCATTTTTCTTCAAATTTTGCCAGAAAAGTCTCCACTGTACATATGTGTGATGAGCCTAGTGATAAAACTTGTAAATTATGTATAGTTCGGTGGAGTAGGGTGGAGTACTGTGGCATCCATAAACCCTAAATTATATTGACATTCTTCAATGCCAATCGCATCACCTGCTTCATTTTGGGAGCACTGAGAAAGAGTATGCGTGCACTAGCAGCGTCCACGACTGCTAGCGGCTTATAACAAAAGTTTGCTATGGTTTCAGTTGTAGCGAATACAAAAGGAAGCCGTCGCTACAACATGAGTGGGACATCCTGCATAGCCGTACTGCAGAGTTAGAGAATTTTGCTGTGGTGGAATCTTGAGTCCGGTAAACAAAAAACTTAATTACAAAGCAACAGAAATAAATTAGAAAGCACTGCGTAACCGTGGCAATGCCTGCACCACGATCTTGGTGTGGTCATGCTTACATTCGCTTCACTGTAGTTTCTGAAGGTTGTCCAGAGAAGCCCGACTTTCTGGCCCACACGAAAAGTATGTTAATAGCAAATTTAAACTCAACATGCCAAATTAAGTGGTACTGTAGCAGTGAAAAAGTCGACAAGCCATTCACAAGAGTCAAAGCTGCGGTCCGAACATGCAGCCTAACCAATACCTGGCCACTTCAAGTGAGAAACTTTGAAAACGCTTAAAGCCCTTAAAGTGCCTAAAAAAATTTGCACCACGTCCTTGCGGCATGTGAAGCAGTCCACTGATCTAAGTTTTTGGGAGGTAGCAGGCAGATGCACCAGTGCGCCAGTGCTTTCAGGATCTAGGCAAATTGGGAGATGCACAGGGGAAACAGGACAGACGTACGCAATTTCTCATTAAGTGCACCTTTACTGGTGGCCGTAAAACAAAAGAAAAATAGAAAAAATGCTGTCGCCCATTCGCTTTGAAGACACTAAGTATAAGCTCCACAACTCAGTCAAGACCTAAGCCGAAAATCGCCAAATACTCGCCATGTTGCCAATATAATTTTAGATTGTTACGGGCCTCTCAAATTTGCCAATTTGCCAAAAAATAGCCACCTGTGGCAACCCTGTCATCCGCCATCTTTTGAATTTCTTTTCCCAATTTATAAGTATGCAGGCGATAGTTGTCAATCTAGTAACAATGGCCCTTTGTCGGCGACATGTGATTGTAGCCATTGCGACGCGATGGCGTGATGGGGAAAGTTTGCCGCTATCGATCGAAAATTGTTTGCGTGCGGTTCGCCCTTAAAATCTATTTTAACGTGCACACCACGCGACTGAACGAGATGCGGAGCCCCTCCAGATGCCGGCATCAACGCAGTGGCAGTGTAAACAAACCCACGTGACGACTTTGTGTTGGCTGGTTGCTGGCACGCCCCATGCGCTTGTGACCTGCGATTTCCTCCTTCGTGCCTGCGGCTTCGCGTGTGCTGGCTGTCAGAGCGGGGCACGCACTGGCACGGGACGCCCGCGCCACAGTTTTGCGCGGTTTACCTTGCGACGGGAACTGCTACTGCTTTGAAACCGAAGCTGAGACTGGGTGCTCTAAAAGTGCCTCTAAATAAATAACCTTCACTCAAGCTAGGTTTGCAGCCGTAATAAGTGGGTCATAAGCTACCTATTGTAAAATATAACAAAAAGGTGCAAAATTTTTGTGTCACTGCTTCTCTAAGAATATGATAGATTGGAATTTCTTCCTCGTCTTTTTCGATCCGTGCCACGCCCGCATGCTGCAACGCAAGGGTCACTTTTGGTCGTCACAATATATGCGTACAACATTAACAATTCTCATTGAGTAGGGGAGGGTGGAGAGAATGAACATCCCATCCCTTCTCCTCTTTGGCTAAGCCAATGACTTTTCCAGCCTCGATCCAAGCGTTTCTTCGTGGGATGGAACGCCCACATTGAGGTTCCATGATCTTAAAAAGCTTACACAGCTTTGGCTTACATGTAGCGAACTATAGAACCAATGGTTTTAGTTCACTAGAGGCCTACATGAAATATGCAAACACTGTCGATTGCCAGGCGTTGGTTCTCACACTCGCAACTCTCGAGGGCCCAGTCAATCACTTTAATGCTACAAGCTGGTGCTTGCCTGTCGCCCTTAGTTTACAGTAAGTTTATTGACATCATAAAACCTCTGCGCTCATTGCGATGCGAAACAATGCACATTATCCTACATGCTCTGGCTACATGCTCTGGCGTTGTGCAATGGCGAGCCTCTCGGCACAGAAGACGCCTGGAGCACGGCAATCACTAACTAGCTTGGACTGGAACGTCCAAATCCAGGCTGTCCAGAGCTTAGAGTTTCCTTCAAGTAACTCTATGGTCCAGAGGGCTCTCAGTTTGTGGAAGGGACATGCCTGTCCCAACAGGGGTGCGGCCCGCAGCCGAGCCACCCTCTTTAGGGGCACAGAGGGGCATCGCCTCCTCAGGACAATTTATGAAGAAAGTTCGTCGACTGACTGACTGATCGACCATGATGACCGTCCCCTTTGTAAAGGGGCGGTGACATGTGTGCTACCAGGCTTGAAAGGGGAAAACAAATACGAAAAGAAAACTTTTTTTTTATGTTGGCCTCATGCGTTATCTACTTCGGTTAAATAAATCTTAAAAGAACGAAAAATATAAATGCACGGTTATCTCTTCGCCTCTTCAGACGGAATGACCTCATTTCCCAATATTTATGTAATTTATATCATCTTTTCTGACACCAATACTCTGATGGTCTCTTACTTGCTTCTATCGTGGACGTGTTTAGCTTTCCATGATAGCCCCTAAAACTTAAGGCCTCATGTATGTTCGTACCCACACATATACTTGGGTGAATATCGCCACATTCAATCAGAACAGGTTCTATCGTCTTCTCAGCTCCCCCACAGCAAGTACATCATTCTTCTTCCTTATTGAATCTTGCTTTATAACTGCGCGTTCTAAGGCAACCTGATCTTGCTTCAAATTGTAAAGCGCTTCCCCATGAATTATCGAAGAACCTTTGCCGCCTTATTTCGATCTTGCCATTTTGGCAGTTATACTGAGAGCCGGCTTCTTTTCTGTCGCTGTCATGCAACAAATCCTCTCTGCTTCTCTGCCATATTGCCCACACTGCCAGTCATATATTTACTGGCGAGCCTCTTTTTCTCCACTTTGTGTCCATGCTCTTCCTATACAAATTAACATCTTCCCTGCTAGTCTACTCTCCTTCATTTTCCTAAGCCTCTCTTCAAATCTCATTTTGCTCTGAGCTTCCCTTACTTCGAACCCTGACTATCCCATATCCCCCTTTACAGCCCAGGAGCGGATCCTGCCACTTTTTTGGGGGATAAGGGGATGGGGATGGGGTCACTTAGAGTAACACTGGAGAGGAGATTGTGGTCATTTTTTTCCGTTTTTTTACTCGCACAAAAGCTCCATCATAGCATAAGTACTGTTAAAGGGACACTAAAGTCAAACAACAATTTAAACTCAATGTATGACAACATGTAAAACGACAACATCATCAACAACAGTCCCCTACTTGCCGAGAAATTAAAGTAAATACACAAGAACACAAGCGCCACAGTAGGACTTTTTCAAAATGATCGCGATGACGTCTGAGGGACCGCCTACAATTTGGCACTAGTAATCGATTTAACTGCTCTAAATAAAGAACGTTCCGTGCATTAAGAGGCACAATAAAATGCTGCTTGTTCGTTTCAGTTCGATATACGAAAAAAAAATGCCGGACGTTGTTATGAAGAATGGCGCAAGTAGTTCAAAAATTTAATTTTCGCGTGGTTACACGGGACAGGTAGAGCCATCTAGCGAAGCGCAGTTGAAACAAAAACGCCGGAAATCTCGAAGCCAATGGTGGGAAATTGATCAATGGCTGTGGTTTCTGCTGTGGCTCCCGCTGCTCTCAGTCTGCTGCTACTAGCGCAGTAAAGCCGGGCAACGTTGTGCATGGCAACAGTGACGTGAGAGGGTCCGGTTGGTCCGCTTCTTGAGGCGGGTAATTTAAAGTGCGGTAACCTGATGCGGAGCACTAAAACGTGATTTTATTTCAAAATAGGCCCTTTCTTGGCACAAAAATAACACTACGAGGTTTCTGGACCGCCATTTCAACAATCAACATAGACATAATAGGTGACTTTAGTGCCCCTTTAATGTGTGCTCAAAGGAATCTCCCTCCATCGTTTGTGCTCATTGGTGATAGCAGGTAGACGGTAGGCACTGAATAGAGGGGAATGGATGCTAAAGGCTTTGCCCCTCCCTCCCCCCACCTCCCCCGGATCCGCCACTGTTACAGCCTCATTTTTTCTCTTCCCATAAGCGCTCAACGCGAGGCGTCTCACAGTCATTTGATTTACACACATTCCTGATTGCACCTCTGACTTCATGCATGATCATATACCAACCTCCTGGAGGCGTTGGTCGCGTTGGTCATGCATAGCTTTAGGGTGCCTCGATGCGCGCGCCCCAGGCGGGTATCGAGGCGCTCTGCATGGATGGATCGATGGATATGGCTGTACCCTTTAGATCTGGCGGTGGCTTCCGCCACCAAGCCGTAATACTTAATGAACCAAAAACTAGATTTATTTTTTCCCTTTAAATAGTGAGGTTGAGGATTCGTACTTTGCAGTGAAGGGTTTAATTTTCACTCGTGCCTTGACTTTAGCCACCAATCAGATAACCTTCTTCTAGTTAATTCTACCCGCTTAAAGTCTATTTTGCCCTCCCTGTCCCGAAACCCCAGTGCTTTGAAAAACTCTGTGC